TCCATCTAAAGTGTCTCCCTGCTACTAGTTCTCCGTCTTTATCTTTCTCCTGAGGTAGAAACGATATATGACAATACGTATATGATTTTTATTTGCACATGTAAATATCAATCAAATTAAATAAATAAATATTAATAAATCCATTTTTAAAAATTTTTCAATGAATTTTAACTATCTATTGTACAAACATTATATAAATAATTCTCTCTAAACACATGGTAAAGCTTGTTTCAAATATATAAAACTTTTAATAAAATTCCTTTCTAAATGCATACTCTCTTCAATACACATTTTTTAAAAATCTAAGATTCCAAGGAAAGTATATTTAGAGAGGATTTATTTTATATTGATTCTTTGAATTATCTAAAAATTTTATAACTACCTTTATCTAAGTTGCTTTATATACTTTTCTAAAGCCATATCCAATATTATAAGATTTATAATACAGCATAGTATTAACGTATTGCAATTCAATGTACTTTATTTTTCTTTATTTATACTTCTTTAACATTTTATAATAATATCTATTTCGAATGATTTATTAAGATCTGAAAGTGATTCGTTATATTTATTCAACATCCTGTAGATTATTCCACAATCTTTTAATAAAAATACATTATATGGTTCTATGAAATAACCTTCATATTTATCCAACAATCTGTCGGTTTCTTCCAATACAATAACATTACCTAGTTCTATTCCTAGTGATCTATTAGATCTGAAAGTAATTCGTTATACCTATTCAATAATCTGTATGCTTCTCCACAACTCAACAATGAAAAAGCACTATCTGGTTCTATTTCTATGATATGTTGAGATCCGAAAGTGATTTTCTGTATCCTTTAACATTTTGGATGTTACTTCCAGACTCTATTATTTGATTTTATTTTTAATTATTTTTCGAGATCTGCGAATGATTCGTAATATTTATTCAATAATCGGTAGGTTTCTTCATGATTTATCAATGCATCTATTTCTAATGATCTATTAAGATCTGAAAATGCTTCGTCATATCTACATAATAATCTGTAAGTTACTCCACGACTCCTTAATGCATCCACATTATCTGGTTCTATTCCTAGTGATTGATTGAGATCAATAAGTGATTCGTCATATTTATTCAATAACCTGTAGGTTTCTCCACGATACCTCAATGTCTCAGCATTATTTGTTTCTATTTCCAATGATTTAGTGAGATCCAAAAGTGATTCGTTGTATTTATTTAACAATCTGTAGGTTACTCCACGATTTCTCAATGCGTCAGCATTATCCGATCTTATTTCTAATGATCTATTGAGGTCCGAAAGTGATTTGTTGTATTCTTTCAACATTCTGTAGGTTACCCCACGATTAATCAATGCATTAACATTATCTGGTTCTATTTTTAGTAATCTATGGAGATCTGAGAGTGATTCGTAATATTTATTCAACATTCTGTAAGTTGCTCCACGACTGCTCAGTGCAAAAGCATTATTTGGTTCTATTTCTAGTGATATACTGAGATCCGAAAGCGCTTCGTTATATTTTTTCAACATTCTGTAGGTTTCTCCACGATTTCTCAATGCGTCAGCATTATCCGATTTTATTTCTAATGATCTATTGAGATCCGAAAGTGATTTGTTGTATTCTTTCAACATTCTGTAGGTTACCCCACGACTCATCAATGCAAAAGCATTATTTGGTTCTATTTCTAGCGATTTATTAAGATCCAACAGAGATTCGCTGCATCTATTTAACATTCTGTAGATTTCTCCACGATTCCTCAATGCTAAAGCATTATCTGGTTCTATTTCTAGTGATCTATTGAAATCTGAAAGTGATTCGTTATATTTATTTAACATTCTGTAAGTTGTTCCACGATTTATCAATGCAAAAGCATTATCTGGTTCTATTTCCAGTGATCTATTGAGATCTGAAAGAGATTCATTATATTTATTCAACATTCTATAGGTTACCCCACGGTTTATATATGCGTCAGCATTATTTGGTTCTATTTCTAGTGATCTATTAATATCTGAGAGTGATTCGTTGTACTTATTTAACAATCTGTAGATTTCTCCACGACTCCGAAATGTGTCCGCATTATTTGGTTCTATTTTTAGTGATCTATTAAGGTCTGAGAGTGATTCGTTATATTTATTCAACAATCTGTATGTTGCTCCACGAATCTTCAATGTGTTAGCATTATCTGGTTCTATTTCTAGTGATCTATTGAGATCCGAAACTGATTTGTTGTATTTTTTCAACATTCTGTAGGTTTCTCCACGATTTCTCAATGCAAAAGCATTATCTGGTTCTATTTCTAGTAATATATTGATATCTGAAAGTGATTCGTTATATTTATTTAACATTCTGTAGGTTATTCCACGACTCATCAATGCAAAAGCATTATTTGGTTCTATTTCTAGCGATTTATTGAGATCCAAAAGAGATTCGCTGTATCTATTCAACATTCTGTAGATTTCCCCACGATTCCTCAATGCTAAAGCATTATTTGATTCCATTTCTAGCGATCTATTAAGATCCGAGAGTGATTCGTTATATTTATTTAACATTCTGTAGGTTACTCCACGATTTCTCAATGCGTCAGCATTATCCGATTCTATTTCTAATGACCTATTGAGATCCGAAAGTGATTTGTTGTATTCTTTCAACATTCTGTAGGTTACCCCACGATTAATCAATGCATCAACACTATCTGGTTCTATTTCTAGTGATCTATTGAAATCTGAAAGTGATTTGTTGTATTCATTCAACATTCTATAGGTTATTCCACGATTTGTTAATGCAAAAGTATTGTTTGGTTCTATTTCTAGCGATCTATTGAGATCTGAAAGTGACTCGTTGTATTCTTTCAACATTCTGTAGGTTACTCCACGATTAATCAATGCATCAAAATTATCCGATTCTATTTTTAATGATCTATTGAGATCCGAAAGTGATTTGTTATATTCTTTCAACATTCTGTAGGTTACCCCACGATTAATCAATGCATCAACATTATCTTGTTTTATTTCTAGTGATCTATTGAGATCTGAAAGTGATTTGTTGTATTCATTCAACATTCTATAGGTTATTCCACGATTTGTCAATGCAAAAGCATTGTTTGGTTCTATTCTTAACGATCTATTGAGATCTGAAAGTGATTCATTATATTCTTTTATTATTCTGAAGGTTGCACCACAATTTCTCAATGCATCCGCATTATCTGGTTCTATTTCTAATGATTTATTGAGATCCAAAAGTGCTTCGTAATATTTATTCGACAATCTGTATGCTATCCCACGATTTCTCAATGCGATCGCATTATCTGGTTCTATTTCTAGTGATATATTTAGATCTAAAAGTGATTCGTTATATTTTTTCAACGATATGTAGGTCTCTCCACGATTTCTCAATGCGTTGGCATTACCTGGTTCTATTTCTAGTGATCTATTGAGATCTGAAAGTGATTTATTATAATCATTTATCAATCTGTAGGTTTCGCCACGGCTTCTCAACGCAAAAGCATTATTTGGTTCTATTTCTAGTGATCTGTTGAAATCTGAAAGTGCTTCGTTATATTTATTTAACATTTTGTAGGTTACTCCACGATTTCTCAATGCATCCGCATTATCTGGTTCTATTTCTAATGATCTATTGAGATCTGAAAGTGATTCGTCATATTTATTCATCAACCTATAGGTTACTCCACGATTTATCAATGCGAAAGCATTATTTTGTTGTATTTCTAGTGATCTATTGAGATCCGAAAGTGCTTCATTATATTTATTCAACAATCTGTATGTTGCTCCACGACTCCTTAATGCATCCGCATTATTTGGTTCTATTTCTAGTGATCGATTGAGATCTATAAGTGATTCGTTGTATTTATTTAACATCCTGTAAGCTTCTCCACGATTTCTTAATGCATCGGCATTATCTGGTTCCATTTCTAGTGATCTATTGAAATCCGAAAGTGATTCGTTATATTTATTTAACATTCTATAGGTTTCTCCACGGTTTATCAATGCAAAGGCATTATTTGGATCTATTTCTAGTGATCGATTGAGATCTGAAAGAGATTTGTTGTATTTATTCAACAATCTACAGGTTTCTCCTCGACTCTTCAATGCAAGGGCATTATCTGGTTCTATTTCTAGTGACCGATTGAGATCAAAAAGTGATTTGTAATATTCATTTAACGATCTGTATGTCATTCCACGACTCCTCAATGTAAAAGCATTATCTGGTTCTATCTCTAATGATTTATTGAGATCTGAAAGTGATTCATTATAATTATTCAATGATCTGTATGTTGCTCCACGACTCCTTAATGCACTCGCATTATCTGGTTCTATTTCTAGTGATCGGTTAAGATCTGAAAGTGATTCGTTGTACTTATTTAAGATTCTATAGGCATCTCCACGATTTCTTAATGCGTCGGCATTATTTGGTTCTATTTCTAGTAATTGATTGAGATCTGAAAGTGATTCGTTGTATTTATTTAACATTATGTATGTTTCTCCACGATTTATCAATGCAGAAGCATTATTTGGTTCTATTTCTAGTGATCGATTGAAATCCAAAAGAGATTTGTTGTAATTATTCAACATTCTGTAGGTTATTCCACGACTCCTCAATGCAAAGGCATTTTCTGGTTCTATTTCTAGTGACCGATTGAGATCAAAAAGTGATTCGTTGTATTTATTTAACATTCTGTATGTCATTCCACGACTCCTTAATGCAAAAGCATTATCTGGTTCTATTTCTAATGATTTATTGAGATCTGAAAGTGCTTCGTTATATTTATTCAGCATTATGTAGGTTACTCCACGATTTCTTAATACAAAAGCGTTATCCGGTTCTATTTCTAATGATCTATTGAGATCTGAAAGTAATTCTCTACATTTATTCAACAGTCTGTAGGTTTCTCCACGAATCCTCAACGCAGCCTCATTATCTTGTTCTAGTTCTTGAGATATATTGATATCTGAAAGTGATTTATTAGATTTATTCAACATTTTGTAGGTTACTCCACGATTTCTCAATGCAAATGCATTATCTGGTTTTATTTTCAATGACATGTTGAGATCCGAAAATGATTCATTGTATTTATTTAACATTCTGTATGTTACTCCACGACTCGCCAATGCAAAAGCATTATCCGGTTCTATTTCTAGTGACCGATTGAAATCTGAAAGTGATTCATTGTATTTATTTAACATTCTGTATGTTACTCCACGATTTGTCAGTGCGACTGCATTATCTGGTTCTATTATTAATGATCTATTGAGATCTATAAGTGCTTCGTTATATTTATTCAACATTCTGTACGTTACTCCACGACCTCTTAATGCTTCAGCATCATCTGGTTCTATTTCTAGTGATCTATTGAGATCAAAAAGTGATTCGTTGTATTTATTTAGCAGTATATATGTTACTCCACGATTTCTCAATACAAATGCAATATCTGGTTCTATTTCTAGTGATCTAGTGAGATCCGAAAGTGATTCATTATACTTATTCAACATTCTGTAGGTTATTCCACGATTTATCAATGTAAATGCATTATCTGGTTCTATTTCTAGTGATCTACTGAGATCCGAAAGTGATTCATTGTACTTATTCAACACTCTGTAGGTTACTCCACGATTTATCAATGCAAATGCATTATCTGGTTCACTTTCTAGTGATCGATTGAGATCTGAAAGTAATTCGTTATATTTATTCAACATTATGTATGTTCTCCTCATCTGATAGCGATCTCAAAGTAATCCGTTAGTGAATTATTGAGATCTTTATTGACCGTTACGCAATTTTCTGATTAAAAAGTTTGCACATATTCGGTTTCCAAATACAGTAAGTAATACAAAAGGCTGGCAACGATAAACTATTTGTACGTGCGTGTTACGCATTTAGAAAAATAAAAAATGGAAATATAGTGACTTCGAGTATTAAAACTATAGAAAGCGTATTTTTGAAAAAGTACTGTATCTGATACTTTACCTGCCTAAAAAACACCCGAAATATTAGATCACATGATATGGCAAATCCGAATATCATCACTAACTAAATGTATACAGGTTGCATTGTGAAGATGATATTTCGGGCGAAAGTGGTGGATCATTTATAACATAAAGGATTGATGTTTGTTATTTCTTTTCCACAAGAACTATTGATTGACTATAAGGCTCTAAATGCAGTAAGAAAAAAAGATGCTCAATACATCCTAAGATGATTATTGCAAAACTTCATAAATATTTTCATATTTTAAACCACGTCTCTCTACCTTCTGGATCACCTCTTTCTGATATTCCGAAATCTATCGGTTACATTAATACAATCAACTTTTCACTAGGAAACAGAAGAAACCTGTGATATATAAAATAAAGGAATTGATATTTAACATGTGACATACTTTAAACGAGAATATGAACAACCGAATATTATTAAAGAATAAATATCAACAACACCAACGAAAAAGGTGAGGCTGAGTAGCTCTTCAAAGCATATTAATGAATTTAAGCAAAAAAATAACTTATTGGTGTGTTCTGTGATCTAGATGAAATTATATGAAAATTTAACGCGAGGAAATCCTCCTCAGAGCTTCTTTCCTTTACGAACATAAAACAAACATCCATTATTTCAGAACCTGATAATGAGGAAATTAAACTTGATCTAAAAAGCATTTCGATAGAATTGCAATGCGTTCCT